CAGGGGACCAAGAGAATATACAGTGACAATTAAGTTGTTCTCCCACTTTTGACCCTCACCTATCCAGCTCCTCTCCCTAAAGGCAATCTCTATAAACTAGAATTTTGTGTTTCCTTCAAGATTTAAAACATATGTAAAACTAGAAATTAGCCGAAAGCAACAAATACAAGTGAATTCAGGTCAGAGTTTGTCTCAGATGGGTACATAGGAGATGGTCAACTAGGCTGTCCTTCAAATGTGTACACATATTCTCTCCCCAGCTGTACTTCAGTTCATCAATCCAATATTTGATAGGCACTTTATTCTTATTAAGAGAGTTCAACACTATGCTGGCCCAGTGGACGACAAAGAAAAACATGATCCTTTCTCTCAAGCTTACACTTTTGCCAAGGAGGCAAAGCAGAAAAGAAATATATTTGCCCAGGATAAACCACTCTCTAATGTCTTCCCTCATCTCCTGAATTCTGCCTAAAACTGAGCTTTGTGGCTCCTCCCCCTCCACCCATCACCATCCCATCAAACCTGCTCTTTTCCTGAATTATCTCAAGTTCAGTTCATGGTACGGACACTCAGAGGGAAGGTAGGTGTGATTAAGGGTGGTAATAAACAGAAACCTAATAGTAATTTTTGCACTCATCCCACATCCAATAGATGAGCAAATTCTAACTGTATATCCTAAATATTTCTAAAACTCATCCTTATCCTCTCTATCCCCATTTTCACTTAGCTGTAAATCCACATCATCTCTCAGAGGGTCATTAACTGGCCTCCATACCTAAGTCTCTTCCCTCCAATTCTTACTCCAAATCACTGAATGCTCCCCATAGGCATGGCATACGGCCCTTTGCTAACCTGCCCTCTAACTTACCTCTCTCTCACTCCTGCATCCCACTCCATATAACAGTATCTCTTCTTCCAACCACTCTGAACTTTTTTCTGGTTCCTCCAAGCTCTGTTCCACACCTCCACACCTTGTATATGCAGTTAACTTTGCTTGGACTGCCTCCCCTTTCCTATCCTACACCAACCCGTCCACCTAGCTACACCTCTTATGACAAGACCGGATACCCTGCCTAACCAGTTAATCACTCCCTCCACTGTGACATCATAGGTCTTATACTTCTATTATTCCTTGCTGTTGCTGTATTTAACCTAAAATATAAGTAAATGTGGTATTCTTTGAAGTTCTCATACAGTTTTATAAACCTGGTATCCAACCCAATGAACACCAAAATAAACATTTAAAAAGGAAGAAAAACAAACAAAATAAATGTTTGTTATATAAACTGAGTGAAGCTTTACCTTTTCCTCCATATTCCCTTCTCATTTTCTTCCCTTTTATGATTAGTGCCCCACAACCATGAATCATGACCCAGTCTAAGTTATAAGTTAGTAAGATGATTTCAGGATTCTGATGCCATGGAAGGAGACAACTCTACTCAAAGGCTAAATCAATGAAGTCCCCGAGTAAAAACAGCAATTTTCCAACAGAACCTCAACTCCGAGAGAAGTATCTCTTTCCAGTACAATCTCATATCTTCTTGCTTCCCATCCCAAGGGAGTGACAGGTTTCTAAATGAATTACAAGGTTCCTTCATCCTAAGCAGGCCCAATCTAGTCAGCTTGAACACTTTTTTGTTTAAGATAGGACAAGTTTCACTACGAGGGTGTCTTCATCAAAGTGTCTGAGATGCCTGGGGAAAAAGACTTTAGTCTGCAAGGCTTCTTGTGTAGCTAATGTTCCTCCGAGTGCCCCTTGAACGCTACTCATTTTAGGACTGCTTGACTTTAAACCTTACTTACTCTTATTCTGATACTCATCCATCACTCAATATTTACTAGTATTTAGCACCTACTCTGTGCTGCACTGGGACCATCACCCATAATTTTCTTACTTGCCTGACCTAACTTGTTACCTGACTTAAGACCTAAATGACAACCATGATGGTGTGGCATGGGTACACTTGGCCCGTTTTTCCTGTGCTGGGACCAAGACCCACACGCCCTCATCTTCCAGTCCCCAGTGGAAAGGGTACCATGAATTTATACTAATTCAAAAGGTGCCCAGCTGAGACTGAAGCCTTTAGTAAATTATCTCCTTTTTTCTCTAACTTTTCTTCTCTCTGTCAATACTCTTATTTTGTTTTAAAATTTTTACCTACCTTATTTTATTTTTAAAATATTTTTTTTTATTGATTTCAGAGGGTAAGAGAGAAGGATAGAGACATAGAAACATCAATGATGAGAGAGAATCATTGATCGTCTGCCTCCTACATGCCCCACACCGGGAATCGAACTGTGACTTCCTGGTTCATAGGTCAATGCTCAACCATTGAACCACATCGGTCGGGCACCTAGCTTCTTTTACAAAGTTGAACATATGATTTTTTTCCTTCTCCCTCTTAAAAAAAACACCAACAACCAAAAACTAAAATATCGGACATTACCTGTTTTCTTATTCATATACAGCTCCCAGTACAGTGTCTGTGTGTCAGCAGCTCTACAGAGAAAAAAGCGTTTCTCATCCCTGCTCTATTGGCACTTTCTGGAATTACAAACTCGATGCTAGATAATTGCGTCAGGTGACAAAACACTTTGCTTGGTCGTAAGTCATAAGGCATAAAGAGGGCTTGGTAGAAGCTGAACCTAAAGTAAACACAGGCACTCTTCTGACAAATTCCAACAAGATATAATCAGAACTGAAAGGGAAGCTTGGAGGACTGTGAAGAGGAATTTGAAGAAAATGCTGGGCAGACTATGTCCAGCACCAGTTAAAGTAAAAAATCTAATACTAGTCAAGAACCAACTCACACAGGCAAGAGGTGTGTGGAAAACATGACAGTGGAGGGCCAAATCATTTCTGATTACCCCAGTGTGGGGGTGATCACTCCAATTCTGAATTCCTGTTACTACACATGTGGTACCCAATCCAGACTTGTTCTTGTAATGCTTATCTTACTTGCTTGGTAATTTCCCTGGCTGTCTATTTCATCTTTATAATCGCCCTCTGGCAGGCAAATTTTTAAAAAATTTACATCAATTTTGATATTTTTCTAGTGTTATTTTTCAAGGTAGGTTAACTCACTGGAACAGTTTACTGACATCATGTTCTCAGCAATTACATTTATCACCTAAAAATAGCCTAAGTGTTATGCAAATAATACAGAAGCTAAAGATCAGTTTAATAGTAATGAGCCTGTTTCCCCAGAATCGTATCTCATTTTATGAATGGCAAAGCTAAGGCCAAACAATGAAGGTTAATGACCTTTTCCTAAAATCAAAAATACACTTCTAAAACAACAAGCATCTTATAATACAGACATGCCACAAAATGTGCATCTATGTACTGGTAGTGCTCTATATTGGCAAGTGCAATACACTCTTACCTCATGTAAGCTCCACAATTTTTATTTCACAGGGAGTGAAACAGTATTTACAGGGAGTAATTCCTGAGGGAATTAATATTTATTGAGTACCTACTGTTGTATGATCGGTGATTAAAATATATAATAAAAATGAACACACTATATGCCAGCAACTTCATAATGCACATTGGTTTTTAAAATGTGCCTGCCAGCCCTGACCGTTTTGGCTCAGCGGAGAGAACCCCGCGGGGCCTGCGGACTGAAGGGTCTCAGGTTCAATCCCGGTCAAGGGCATGTACCTTGGTTGCGGGCACATCCCCAGTTGGGGGTGTGCAGGAGGCAGCTGATCAATGTTTCTCTCTCATGGATGCTTCTAACTCTCTATCCTTTCCCTTCCTCTCTGTAAAAAAATTTAATAAAAAATATTTTTTAAAAAAATGTGCCTGCCAGAGAGGAATGGGTGAGATGATTTATTAAATAAAGGATTTTAGGGATCTTGTCAGAATTCAAATTATCACTCATCAGGTCTTGGGTAGGACCCGAGTTTCCCAAGAAGCTCCTAGGTGACGCTGGTGCTATTGGTCTGCACTTAGACAGTAATCTGTAAAGTTTATAAACAATGAACCCTCGCCAGCACGACTAAAACAAGCATTAGAGTGCGGAGGTAGCGGGCCTCTCTCACATCCTCTCACCTTCAATGACTGTCAAGTCCTACTATTATCCTTTCTACCTGACAAACAAGACGAAGGCACAGAACAGTGACCTTTTAACAGATCGGCAAGTCTGATACGTGGGGAACCAGGATTCACTCTGATGTAGACTGGACCCTGCGGGGCAGTTACCCATTTCACTGTATCTAAGTGAACGGGCAGATCAGAATTCAAAGCCAGGGTCAGCGATCTTCGGGACCAACCTTCCGGGCCCAGTTCTGCTATAATGGTTGTGTCGGGACAACATGATGCCATGGGCCAGGGAACCGGGAAAACAGAGCCCGCCGCGCAGCAGAGCCGGCGGGGAAGGGTCGGCAGTGACCGGGATCTTCGCGCGAGAGGTCCGAGGGCTGGTTGCCGGCGGAAGTAGGAGGGCGGGGCCTGCGCCCGGGAAAGGGTCCGGGCGGGACTGAACCAACGAGTGCTGGGAAGGGGTTTCAGAGTTAGGGCTACGTGGCTGCCTCCGTGCCCTGTGCCGAGGCTGAGCGACACTCACTCCAGCCCTCGGCGCCCTGGAGTTGTGAGTGCTGAGGTGCGGGCTCTCTTAGGCCACAGCCGTCTCCTTAGAGATGCTTCCTCCCGCCCCTCAGTCGAGTGGGAAGCCCCGGAAATGGCGGCCCAGCGGTACCTGGCCAGTCGGGGTGGGAGAGTGTCCAGTCGCTGTACCAGCTCCACTGCGCCCCACGCAAATCCACCCCTTCCTTTGCCGCCACCGTAGCCCTTACCAGCTCTTTGGGCGGCTTCTCCTGGGTTTTTCCAAACAGCCCCATGGTTAATGAACTCGTCTTGCCCCTTCCGGCTTTTCGTTCCCTGCGCCCAGGCAGGTCACGGGCAGCCGCCTGGGCGGGGCCGAGAGAGGGAAGGAGACCGACGCCCGGAGAAGGGAGCGGCCGCAGTTAGGGCAATGCGCATGCGCAACACGGTCAGGCGGCGCTTTGTCCAGAAGATTGACGCGATTGCGCAATTCTGGGCGGGGCTTTCTCAAGGGAGGTGGTGAAGGTGTTTTTCCGTGCATTGTAGAAGGGAGTCATCTGAAAGGTAGGAATTTATTGACCACACCTGGGGATTACAGCTGCTCCGGGTAGTTCACCTGCGCCTGGATGTTGTTGTGTCGGAAATCTGGATCTCCGCCCAGACCAGGTACAATGACCACCACTTTCCAAACAGCATCATCTTGTGTCCCGTAGGCAACTCACCGGCAGCGACCAGCAGAGCTACTCCTCCCCTCTGTTGTCACCACCATCACCTGGTCCCTAAAACCTGGGCATCCATCATC